TTAATTTAAATAGCAACACTTACTCGACTCGCCATCAGATGACTACGAAAAGCAGCCAAATCTTGAAAGTTTTCCAATAGTATTGGCTCTCACGACTCTGTCAGGAGACATCAGACAACAAATATTTGGTGCATTTTTTCTCTAGAAATAGAAAACCCTGGTTTTACAATCTGAAATTATCTAGAAATATTAAATTAAACTTGTCAACAGTCAAACCTGTCAATACAGAATCGAAGTTCACGATCTCAACCACGTGTTATGGTAGTGACCCCAGTGTTGACCAGTGAATCCACGTATGGCGGCAGCCATCCCCAAGAACGAACAACGTGCGCCATCTGGCGAGCGTCCTCTGCACTAATATGTTCTGAAGACCATTATTTTATATGATAATAACACAGACGAGGTACACGAGTAGATCATTCACCTAATATATTTTTTCGACCCGTTTCTCTGGGTCTCTAGAGCCCCCATTACCATTTCCGTGTCACTCGCAACGTTACCAACAGATTTAGAAATGAACACAAGAGGAAGTGAGACAGAAAATGAAATTACAGAAATTTCATTATTTTTTAACGGAATGAAAGCTGTACGGTCCGTCATTGGATATTAATCGATTAATTTCATCGAAGTAATCAATCGATTAACACTTTACCGACCGGTAGCGGTTGATTAATCGGCTATCGGTCGGTAAACGCCGACCGATAAAACAGTTGATTAATAGGCTATCAGTCGGTAGGCGTTAGCCGGTAAAACAGTCGATTAATAGGCTATCGGTCGGTAAAGTGTTAAGATTATTTAAAAATTTCAAAATTCAATCTTTTATTTTCACTAGGGGCGGTGTCAAATTCCATTCATTTTCATCTGATTGATTGTAACGAGTCAGCGTTTTTTAAAATTGCTAAACAAAGAGGACAGATAGGACAGTATTCTCAAATTTTTTCAGATTAAAAAATTTTAAATCACATTGAAATTCATTCGGTTGTTTAGACTCAATAGTATAAATATACGAACGCACGTCCATAAAGCATAGTAAAAAAATGTCTTTTTTTTAACAGTTACAATATGATCAGGGGGTCCTAAAACGTGTATTTCCATAAAAAAAATTTTTGAAATTTTTGTTTCATTATGGTATTTTGCTTATATGCGCCTACAAAATACGTGGGCAGTCAAGATTCGAAATCGCATGCCAGGGATGCAAGATCGAATTCAGCTCTGCGAGAGCAACAAGGATAGACTCACATTCCCCGCCTTTCTCGAATCCCCGAAGCTATACGAAGCGCCAGAACTCATACGCAAGGTGGTTGTGCATTAGTGTGTGTAAGTGGAGGGGCAGTTTCCTTTGGGCACGGGCCTGCCGTCTGATAATACTGCACTGTCTGGGTTAGCATAAGTTTCTATCGGCGCAGCACACGCTGGCAGTCTGCCCAGCGTGGGCAGATGAGCGCCGTGTCCTGGAACAAGAAGTTGCGAGCAATCTCTCGCTAGCCACCATAGTAGGAGAGATGGCGGCCAGCGAGGGAACCTTGCAAGTGGTGGCCTCCTTCTGTGAGGTGGTCATGTCACGGAAGGAGGCCGTCGAGCGGAGACGCGAGCACGCCATTCATCCCTCTCGGAATGGGAGGGCTTGGAGGGGGACCAAGGCGAGGCGACCTTCGCCTCCTGGCCCCCTCCAATAGCTCTGAAGTCCTGAGGGCCCCATCAGCGCTCTCCTCCGGCCACCACATCGGTGGCTGAACGATGGGCCAACCCTGGGGGCTGCAGGTGCTCGGTGCAAGGGCCCGAGCATCTCGTCCTTCCCCCCGGGACGAGCCACGACAGGCAAGGCGTGGCGGGGGACTCTGCGGTGTCTCGTCAAAGTTCCGGGTCCCCCACCATAACGCCGGAGGATGATCACCGTGGGGTTTTAGCCGGTAGGAGTCCGGCACTACCCCGAGACCCCCCACCACCCTACTTGGGGCCCCGGGGTGACCATGAGGTTTTCCCCAAGTATAAAAAAAAAAGTATAAGTTTCTATTCGGACCAAGTTGTTCGTTATGTGTAACATTAGGATGTTTCCATGTTCCTAAATTAAATTTCTGCATAGGTGCAGACACAGACGAGGTATACGAGCACATAGACCCCTCATCTTATGGACTTTCGTGGCCCAATCTGACTGCCATACCGACACTGAAAATTCGGAGTTGATTTTAGCGACCTCTTCTCACGGATGGCGGTCAATTGAGAAACTATTCTCTGAATTAGCAACTATGGGCAGCAGCTGAAGTGTGTGCGTGAATACATGTGAGTTTACTATGGAACGGATTAAAAAACGCAATTTTCAAACGACCATAACATCTACAATAGTGAATATATTTCAATGAAACTTTTTTCTGAACTAGAGCTCATGGGTATCTACCAAAAAGTATTAAACAACTTTTCTATAGGGCGTGAAACAAAATTACTAAAAATCAAAAACGAATTTTTAAGGAAAATCGACAACAGGTGCCTAAATTTTTCGGCGAGATTAAAAAATTCCAAATTGTTCTAAAAAAATTATTTATGGTTGGAGGGGTCAATTGCAATCATTCTTGGCCAATAGACATACCTTCGAAATCCTAACCATTTTCGAGAAAAAAATTCTTTACCGAAAATATAATTTCAGGCCAGAAATGGCACCCGAAAATTTCATACGGATCTTTAGAAAATCATAACTTCTGAACAAATTGGAGGATTTTAATGTTTCAAACGGCAAACAACGTGTATTTTGGCGAAGAATGTGTAGGTATTCTAACAATATTGAAAAAGTTGTTCCTTGACCCCGTAAAGTTAGGAAAACCCTATAAAAATGGTCCAATTTTCAAACGGCCATAACTCCTACAATAGTGAATATATTTCAATGAAACTTTTTTCTGAACTAGAGCTCATGGGTATCTACCAAAAAGTATTAAACAACTTTTCTATAGGGCGTGAAACAAAATTACTAAAAATCAAAAACGAATTTTTAAGGAAAATCGACAACAGGTGCCTAAATTTTTCGGCGAGATTAAAAAATTCCAAATTGTTCTAAAAAAATTATTTATGGTTGGAGGGGTCAATTGCAATCATTTTTGGCCAATAGACATACCTTCGAAATCCTAACCATTTTCGAGAAAAAAATTCTTTACCGAAAATATAATTTCAGGCCAGAAATGGCACCCGAAAATTTCTTACGGATCTTTAGAAAATCATAACTTCTGAACGGATTGGAGGATTTTAATGTTTCATACGGCAAACAACGTGTATTTTGGCGAAGAATGTGTAGGAATTCTAACAATATTGAAAAAGTTGTTCCTTGACCCCGTAAAGTTAGGAAAACCCTATAAAAATGGTCCAATTTTCAAACGGCCATAACTCCTACAATAGTGAATATATTTCAATGAAACTTTTCTCTGAACTAGAGCTCATGGGTATCTACCAAAAAGTATTAAACAACTTTTCTATAGTGCGTGAAACAAAATTACTAAAAATCAAAAACGAATTTTTAAGGAAAATCGACAGGAGGTGCCTAAATTTTTCGGCGAAATTTAAGTTTCAAATTCCCCTTGAAAAATTATTTTCGATTGCAGGGGTCAATTGCAATCATTTTTGGTCAATACCCATACCTCCGGAAAACCTACGCATTTTCGAGAAAAAAATTCTTTACCAAGAATATGTATAATGTGTGGCCAGTAATGTTTGTGTAATTTCATTTTCTGTCTCACTTCCTCTTGTGTTCATTTGTGTAACCTGTTGATAATGTTGCGAGTGACACGAAAATGGTAAATAAAAAATACATTAGGGGAAAGATCTACTCGTATCCCTCGTCTGTGGTGCAGGATTACTATCAGATTCATCGCGAGGACATCACAGAAGAAATCGTTATCCGCTTTAGAATCTTTAGATTAAGTTAGAATTAAGGCCATAATGTACAGTTTTCCGTTCAATCAACACTTTCGTTGTAATTGTTATTTATGCTAACATTGTTCAGGTAATAAAGTAGACATTATACCATGTAATAGTACTAATTATACTTTTAATAAATAATAATAAATTCCCTATCTTCAGTATATGTACAACATGATTATTAATGGAGAAGTCGCATTTTATTAACGTTAAAGCGACAATCCCACTTTAATTGAAAACGGGTTATTCGTTAGGTACTTGTGATTACGTTTCTAACATTTTTATGATAAATAGCATCAAAACGTATGCATTGGTTACAACGGAAGTATTGATTAATCTAATACTGATTAAAATTCGATTGCAATCAGCAATATGGGATCAGCTTATTTGATGAGCAATAATGTTACTCTTACTATAAAGAAAAGAAGCTTACAACAAACACTAGATTTTAATTATAATGAAACAGAATAATAATTCCGCGGATTATCTAGCTAATATGTTTAGCTATTATAGCTTACAATATATTTCCTAACCACACAATTTCTAATTATTAAGCTCAAATATGCATATCCTATTGCGGCAGTTTTAATTTCCGAGTGCTATGAAGCAGGAAAATTCGATATCTATTTTAAAATTAAACGATTTATTATGAGCCAAACAAAATAACAAAAGTACATACCTTTTTGATACTGTACTTTGTTAAAATTACTTCTTACACGACATATTAAATAACTAAAAACCTCAATTTACAAATTGAAAATTAGTACTACAAATACCCTCATGTTTAATTCAGTTCCTTATATCTAGATGAACAAGTCAAATGCGCATTTTCTTTGACCATTAAGGTTTAGGTAACAATAATTTTATACACAATGACTATTATTATTTCTGTGAACAACACGTAAATAACATGATTATTTTAACTAAGTTCTGTGGTACGCAGTCTGAAGATATTTTCTATGATCAAAAACACTATGAATCTTTTATGCACTCACATTAAGCTTGACTTTGGTGCTTTATGATCAGGAATTTTAATAACACACCTGTCGAAAGTTTTATACTGAATTCAGCCAAAGAATTTGCATGGCATATTGATAAAATTATCTTGCACATTGTTTAACTTTGTCCTGGTCTTGCTGCTTCTTCAGTTGTTTTTCTCTCATTCGTTCCGCATCTCTAAAATTACAAAAGTGATTTCAAGTATTTCATTTATTTCGTACCTTACGCGTGTAAAACATGTAATTTAAACTTCCACTGCATTCGTTTAATAATTTTTAAACTTACAATTATTCCAAACCATAAATATCAATCATCTAAGACTAATATCGATTTCAAATTTATAACTTTTAATAGAATTTATTTATAATTAAGAATTATAATTAAAGCTGGAAATTATAACTATTTTGTGGTTGGCTATTAGACACAATTCATTTGTTAGAATACAAAACAAATGGGTTTTTAAATATACAGGGTGTTCGGACACCCTTGGGAAAAATTTTAATGGGGGATTCTACAGGCCAAAATAAGACGAAAATGAAGAATACCAATTTGTTGATTGAGGCTTCGTTAAGAAGTTTTTAACGTTTATAGTTCCGCCTGTAGATAGGCAACCTGCGTACAGCTACGTGCGCGTGATAGCGGTTCTCACTCACAAGACTCGCAACTGTAAACGTTAATAACTTTTTAACCAAGCCTCAATCAACAAATTGGTATTCTTGATTTTCGTCTTATTGTGGCCTCTAGAATCCCCCATTAAAAATTTTCCCAGGGGTGGCCGGAACACTCAGTACATATTTTTAACAATTCTTTGGAAGGATTTGAAAGCGCGGTACTAGATACAGATTTATGTATTAATTATTACCGTGCTTTACGCTGTTCCAACGATAGACCTTTGTTACTGTCTTGTTCAGCAGCTGATTTCTTTGCAGTTTTTTTCATATTTTTGGCTCGTGCTAATTCGCGCTGATTTCCACCTATATGTGAAAAAGACAAATATAAAATAAAATATTTTTACTTATCATAATAACAATATATGCGTTACAGAAAAGTACATATTGAGACGAAACAGTACAAGTTTATTTGAAATAACTAAACAGTAACAAAATAGAAAAGAAATGATTTTATTTTAAAAAACATCTATGACCTCGAAATTTCAAAAAGAAAAGCTGAGGAAGTATTTTATTATTACTATGTTTGCCAATGTCAATAAACACTTTCATTATTAATAAAGATATTTACAAATACTCATTTAAATTCTATATAATTACAGTCAGTCCCATAAGTATTAGTACCAGTGTAGATTTTGTCAAAACCTCGCATATTATGGTAACTTTTTTACTTTCTATTAATTTTCAAATATTTCGTGGGTTCACCTTTATGCCTTATTACATCGTTTAACCGATTTAGTATACTTTTTACCAGTTTTAAAATGATATTTGATTCAATGCCATTCCAAACTTCCACAATTTTTTCTTTTAGCATTTGTTCATTGGAAATTTAATGCTCGTGTAGTCTTTTATGTATTTCCGTCCATAAATTTTCTATTTGTATCTGGACTCTGAGGAGATGTACGTACAAAATGAGGAACATGATAAAGTATCCACTCACGAACAATCTGAGCAGCATGCTTCGGGTCGTTGTCGTGTTGGAAATAGTAGTCTTGCTTCCTTCGAGTATATTTTTATACTTTATTTTATCCATAATTCTATCGATAAAGACAAAATTGCCCACTCCGGATGCTGACATGCAGCCCCAAAGCCATCACAGAACCTCCGCCATGCTTTACAGTCGGTTGTAGAGTCTTTAATTCTAGTTCTTTATTAAGCTTTCTCCAAACTTTTCCTCTTTCGTCACATCCAAAAATATTAAATTTCGACTCGTCAAAGGAAATAACGTTTCTCCAAAAGGTATTAATTTGACTTCTGTACATCTTCGCAAATGCTAATCTCTTTATTCTGTTAATTTTACTAACGAAGAGCTTCTTTCTCGATGTTCGACCATAAAAATTTTCACCTCTCAATATTCTTCGACAAGTTTCAGCAGAAATCTTCTTATTGAATATATCGTTACACATTGTCGGTAACTTAGGTGCACTAAGTTGAGGATTTTGTTGCACTTGACGTATCATAGTTTTTCTCTCTCGAACGGTTAAAATCTTTGGTCTTCCAGTACGTTCGTTATTTAACAAACTATCACTTGCTTTTATCCGTTTAATAATGAATTGGATAGTCGATTTACTTCTGTCCATTATTTTTCCCATCTCAACATAACTTTTGCCCTCTTGGTGCAATTTAAAAATTATTTTACGCTCTTCTAGAGTAGTCTTGGACTTCTTTCGACTCATTTCTGTTTATTGATGTTATTTTGACACAATTTTGAACTAGTCTACTTTGTTGGCGTTCGCTCAACCGACTATGAACTGTGGTAATTATTTTCGATGTAAAATGACATTCGAAAGAAAAGAAAACCGACTTTGCTAAGAATGGTAGAAATACTTTTGTGCACTGCTATTACGTACTACGTATAATAATATCAATATATGTTTTTTATTAGATAATCAATTTCGTTATAATTTGGTATAAATAAACTTTATACCTGTGTTCATTTATAATAAAAAATTTATTGCAATACTTTAAATGCATCGTTTGATTTGAACAAATTTCTATTACAAGCAACAAGGGTACGAATACTTATGGGGCTGACTGTACATGTTACACGTAAACAAAAAGGATTAAATTATTCTAACCAATAAAATTGTGATTTGGTCAAAACTCGAAAGTACGAATAGGAAGGTAAAAGATCCAATTTACAACATTGTATTAAAATAATATCAAGCACATCTTCAAAAATTATCCAAACTTGTTACATACAATAAATTACAATTATAAATCATGTTTTAAAATTATGTAAAAGGTGCTTGGCGACTTATGGTGACAAAATTTGCTCGAAGTCTAATTAGACCTTGAGATCAAAATATAAAACTTAAATATGCAGTCTTTTTTACATAAATGAAACTGTTCGAATATAATCATATCAGTAAAGTTTTCTTTTTTACTATTCAAAATATGATCAAGGAGTCTTAAAACGTGATTATCATTAGTGCACTATATTATAAAAAGGAATTTTGTGTGAATGTCACAGTTTCGAACAAACAAAAATGACACTGCAATACCAATTACGATATTTCACGTCTGTCATGAGAACACTGACAAAGAAACGTTTAGAACATGACAGTTCAATAAACAACAACTATGGATCTGAAAACAAAAGGCAAAATAAAGGGTAAATATTTTAAATACGGAATAACGAGAAACAATAGGTTTGAATTGCCGTCACGAGTTATCACGAATACGGTCAGTTTCGTATACACACAAATATATCGAGTAACTGTTATAAATAATCAATAAAAGCATAATTTCTGTGAAAAAAATCTAGCGGTGTCGAGTCTTTGACCCGAAAGTTATTTAACAGACAAATGGCAGGCGTGAAATATTAATACGTTGTTCTAAATTTACTTAATTACATTGTAACTACCTTGATTGTTACAATAAGAAAATAGTAGAAAAAAACGTACGGGTCATTCTTTCAGTTCTTGATCTCCGATAAGCAAGTACTTAAAAATTGAGTCCCGAGCAAGTGCTGCGAAAAAGCACGGCCTTATACCTCTACTTTTCACTGTAGTACACTAATTTCTAAACCAAAATAAATCTTGCGTCGTCTCAGTCGGCGAATATCGATGCTTGCGCCATCTGGGCGCAAGTTTCAGTACTTTCAGTTTCATTACTAGCTTTAAAGTGCAAGCAACGCGATTGTGTACTCCGCCAGCGATTTATTTGGAATTTTTAATAACAGAATATGCAATGCATATAACAAAATAATATACAGTGTAAACTAAATTGAGTAAATTCCTTAATTGAATATACTCTGTTTATAAAAATAAAAATACAGATAAAGATGATATACGATGAAGGTAAATTTTCCAAAATGCATTAATTTTCGTTTACTTGACAACTGTTTTTACACGGTAGATATCTTCCAAAGAGCACAAGAAAATATGTGTTGATTGTAGCATAACAGTTGTTCTATAGCTTTAAGAAAATATATAAAGTCGAATGTTCGAAATTCAACAAAAAATTTTGTATGAAAAGCCAAGTGTATTAGGTGTACAAATGAATAATCCAATTTTTCACATTCAATGTACATTTTAAAAGAAAGTAAATCGAATTGTTCGATCAAAGATTTCGCCGTTACTTTCTATAAAAATTTTATGTTCTTGGATCCGATAAAGTCATCGAGCCATTTTCGGATCTCATCCACTGATTGGAAGTGCATTTTCCTTCTTTCTGGATCATTCCCATCTCACGTAGGTGTTTGGAAATCATTTGCTGGGTTACTCCTGACTGTTCTGCCAGTTCTTTTTGCGTTTGTGCCGCATTCTCAGCGAGCAGTTGTCCCAAATCATTGTTGTCGCACTTTCTTAGGGCTCCAGGGCGTTGTTTGTCGATTAGACTCAAATCACTGCTTTTAAACCGCTCTAAACCAAAATGCGCACACATCATACAATACAACACCTATATAGAGAAAGGAACAAATTTATTCGTATGCTCTGCAGCATTTTTCCCTTGTTGGAATTCGTAAAGAATGCAGTGTCTTTTGGGGGTTATGGTGGGCCTTTCGCCAAACTATCTTTTGTTAAAAAATTTTAAAGGGAGATTCTAGAGGCCAAAATAAGATAAAAATCAAGAATAGCAATTTGTTGATCGAGGCTTCGTTAAAAAGTTATTAACGTTTAAAGTTGAAGTGTGCAGCGTGCGCGGTTCCCGTCTCACAGGCGCAACTATAAATGTTAATAACTTTTTAACGAAGCCTTAATCAACAAATTGGTATTCTTGATTTTCGTCTTATTTTGGCCTGCAGAATCCCTCATTAAAATTTTTCCCAGGGTTGGCCGAACACCCTGTATGTCAACACTATATGACCGCAAAAGAGCGGGAAAATCTATTGACTTTAAACTTGATTTTATAACTGCTTAAGATAATTTGGATTATTCATTTGTACACCTAATATAAATTAATGCATTCTTATTTTAATACAATCCTGAGCTCTATATTAAATTTATCATTTTCCATCCTTCCATGATAATATTCTATGATTCTCATTGAACAATCAAAACAAATAAAAGTATAATAAAAGCTTGAGATCAAAGATCCGTTCGTGTATCAGGAGTGAAGGAAAATAGGAATTATGCTATGCGACAGGAAGAATTCATCGGTCCTGTGTCTAAACATTAGTTTGTACAGTTTTATTTATAATCTGTTACTATAATTATAAAAAAATATCTGTTCGTTACTGTCCCGAAGGATGTTTGTTAGTGATATTTGTTAGTACTCGATTTAAAATTCTTTCTGCGATACAAAATTGAAGTGTTCATCGTTTTGGTTCATCTTTCGTTATGAAAACTGTCGACTTAAATGATTTGAATTGTGACTGTTGTCAGTGCAGTTTGGTGGTAACGTTTCGTGAAGGTACATGACTGGCCAATGGCGCCCTGAATATGTTGGCGATTGTCGATACACTGCACGATCCTTGGGCAAATAGGGATAATAAGTTTCGCTGCAGGGTCTCCACTGGTCATCGTTGGAACCTACGTAACACCTGAAAAATACAAATTTCACTGATATTGGCGAAACAATGCAAGATTCGACCCTGTTGGATCCGAAACTCATGAAAAAGTGTTTTCTAAATGAAAAACAGCGTAACAGTCAGTTGTTACTGTACCAAGGATAATGATATCCAGCTGAAAAGCCACATCGATGGTTAGAGTCGCAACAATAATCCCAGCTACCGTATTCGCTTTCTTCTGTTTCGCAGGACCAGAAGCCAGCTACCTCGTTCCGCTGACAAACAGTGCCATTTTTACAGGGGTGACCATTCACCGTATAACGTTGGAAAGTGGACAATTCTTTTCTTGCTAGTTGGCATAAAATAAAAGAGCGAAAGCTTAATTTAGATGCATCTACTCCATCGGTACAGCTAAAATCCATCGACAATTGAAGAAATAATTTCTTCGAGCCCATGAAATTACTTATTGTCTACTTACGGTAGGAAAAATCGAATCCAGGCTCGAAATGAGGATCACCGTCGACAATGCCAGTTTGTGGATCGCGTTCGTGATCCTGGGGCCTGAATTTGCTTCCCGTAGGATCGAAAGGTAAATCGAGCGTAGGAGTCCCATCGTTGAACACAGTTTGACCGTTGAAGTGGTCGTCCTGCGTGGGAGGAAATGGTTGGCCGTGGTCCTCGGGCGATGGTGTGGCGTACGGAACATTTGCCATCAGTCTACAGTAAGGATCGTGATCTCTCCACGTGTATAGCAAATGATCCTCATCGTGCGTGTAGTCCACGTTTGGTCTTAGGTCTCCTATCGAGATGTCGCTCAACATACAGTTGTTTCGAGTATTATCGGTGGTGATCCTGCGGGTAATATTCTATTATTTTAAGCTAGGGATAAAATAAGGTCAAAATGCTTACATATAATTGAAAGACATGCACGGCGGTGAGGCGGCCGAGTTCCTCATCGTGGAACACTTTTGCTGACACTCCGACTTCGTGTCAGCTCTGGTGAAGGACACTACCGCGTGTGACATCAGTCTGCAAGGTCTGTGATGTTCAGAGTAACAATGTTCGTCCATTCGTGTGTTAGTGGCTCTGTTATTCGTCATAGCCGCGTCGGGTATTGGCAATGGTGGGTATGCCTCGCAACCATAAGAAAAGCTGCTTCTTTCGTACAACTCTGCGCCGTCCATGTCGGGCATGTTGGCAGGATTTATTTCCCCAGGTGGCCAGTCGGTTAAGAAACAATTCGTCGAGACTCGATCGTTCGCGTGCGCTCGATAATCCGTCGTTGCGTACTTGAAGACGAAACTTCTGCAAACAAATTCCTGGGAGGAAGTGCACTCGAACTGACACTCCCCCAAATCATCGACGGGCATCGACTTCTTCGTGATGTCCGTAGGAATGCCAAATCCGCTTCTGACTCTTGAGAAACATTCCTCGGACGGGTGTCTGTTCGTCGTTTTCCTCAAGCGACATACTTTCGAGTCTTGGACGATCACGTAGGTGTCGTAATCTCGATCTGGCTCGAGATCCGTATAAAAGTTTAGATCCTGGTGTGGAAGGTCGCTCAATAAACAATTATCTGTGGGGTTCGTAGTCAACACGTTGTATCTATGTAGGTACACATATACAATAAGAATAAGTTAAAAGGGAAAAGGTGAAAATTAGAGTAAACGGTAAAAAACGTAGATCGATACCATTACTATCTTTAATTTCTCGTGTTAGGATTACACTAGCGTGGAAACTCTGAGTTGTGTGTATAACGTACCTTCTGCGAACATAGACTGACTTTATTTGAATAGGTTCTCTCAGTTGAAAGAGAAACACATTATCTGACGCAGACAAAATGATAGCACACTGGAACGGTATTTACATTTTCTTCAGTGTTTCGTGAACTTGCGTTGAGTTGTTACGTTCAGTCATTATTACATTGCTATTTTCATAATGGGTCGTGGCAAAAAGCTTAGTGAAAATAAAATTAGCACAATTTTAGCTCTAAGGAAACAGAGTTTGTCAATTACTCAAATTGCAAAATAGATTAGTCGCAGTAGAAAAGTTATATATTATTGTGGTAAAAGATACAAGTGTGTACGGAAAGAATATAAGTACAGGAAGACCAGCAGCGTTATCTGAACACGATGCACGAGCAATAATAGGTGCTTACAATTCTTACGCTACGAAAGAAAGAAATATACAGAATGTTCATCGTTCACTTCAGACTAGCAACATTAGAAACTGAAGTAGAATAATTACAAAACCAGCATTAAATATAAGACATAAGGCATGTACTTTGGAAAGAGACTTTGAGACGAATAATCTTTACGGATGAGAAGAGGTGGAGCAATGGTTTGGGCCGGTGTCGGATATAAAGGAAAAACAGATATTAAGTTTGTTCAGCGCACAATGAATAGCATCAGTTACCTTCAAGTAATAAAAAACTAAATTTATACATATGCAGAACACATTACTGTTACACCGTACATATTTCAACAAGATAACGCTGTGGTACATACTGCCAAAATGGTTAAAGAATAGTTTTTAAGGGAGAATGTTTCCATTCTTCGATGATTGGAGTGTTCACCTGACTTTAATATCATCGAGAATTGTTGGCCAATGCTCTCACGAGCAGTGTATACCAAAGGCAGACAATTTTCAAATATAAATGAATTAAAAAGTTGCATTACAACTGAATGGGAAAGTTTAGTCCAAATGAAAATTAAAAAGTTCTATAATTCTTCACTTAAAAGGATGGTGGAAGTCGTAGAAAACAGAGGAAGTTGTACACATTATTAGAAAAGTATAGTTTAATATACAGGGCGTTCTGTCAACCCTGGGAAAAATTTTAATGAAATTTTAATGGAATACTTCAAGCCTGTTCAGAAGTTATGATTTTTTAAATTTCGGGGAAACATTTCTAGCCATACAGTATATTTTCGGTGGAGAATTTTTTTCTGGAAAGTGGGTAGGATTTTGGGGGTGTGTCTATTCACCAAAAATAATTGCAATTGACCCCCGTCACCAAAAATAATTTTTCCAGAATGATATGAAATTTTTTAATTTTGTCGAAAAATTTGTCCAAATTTTTGAATTTTTTCTGGAAAGTGGGTAGGATTTTAAGGGTATGTCTATTCGCAAAAAATGATTGTAATTGACCCCTGCAATCCAAAATAATTTTTTTAGAACGATCAGAAATTTTTTTTTCCATCATGACGATTTATTTAAAAAATTTGTTTTTCATTTTTAGTCATTCTGTTTGACGCCGTATAGAAAAGTTGTTTAATACTTTGTTGTAGGTACCCATGAGCTCTATTTCAGAAAAAAGTTTCATTGAAATATATTCACTATTGTAGGAGTTATGGCCGTTTGAAAACTGGACCATTTTTATAGGGTTTTCCTAACTTTACGGGGTCAAGGAACAACTTTTTCAATATTGTTAGAATTCCTACAGATTCTTCGCTAAAATACACGTTGTTTGCCGTTTGAAACATTAAAATCCTCCAATCCGTTCAGAAGTTATGATTTTCTAAAGATCCGTAAGAAATTTTCGGGTGCCATTTCTGGCCTGATATTATATTTTCGGTAAAGAATTTTTTTCTCGAAAATGGTTAGGATTTCGAAGGTATGTCTATTGACTAAAAATGATTGCAATTGACCCCTGCAACCAAAAATAATTTTTTTAGAACGAGTTGGAATTTTTTAATCCCGCCGAAAAATTTAGGCACCTCGTCGATTTTCCTTAAAAATTCGTTTTTGATTTTTAGTAATTTTGTTTCACGCCCTATAGAAAAGTTGTTGAATACTTTTTTGTAGATACCCATGAGCTCTAGTTCAGAAAAAAGTTTCACTGAAATATATTCACTATTGTAGGAGTTATGGCCGTTTGAAAATTGGACCATTTTTATAGGGTTTTCCTAACTTTACGGGGTCAAGGAACAACTTTTTCAATATTGTTAGAAATCCTACAGATTCTTCGCTAAAATACACGTTGTTTGCCGTTTGAAACATTAAAATCCTCCAATCCGTTCAGAAGTTATGACTTTTTAAAGATATGCAAGAAATTTTCGAGTGCCATTTCTGGCCTGAAATTATATTTTCGTTAAGAAATTCTTTTCTCGAAAATGGTTAGGATTTCGAGGGTACGTCTATTGATAAAAAATGATTGTAATTAACCCCTGCAACCGATAATAATTTTTTCACAATTATTTGGAAGTTATCAATTTTTAAGGTAACAGACAGTTATGATCAGATATTATGTTTTCAGTAAGGAATTTTTTTCTGGAAACGGCGTAGGATTTCGGGATTATGTCTATTCACCAAAAATGATTGTAATTGACTCCCGCAACCGAATATAATTTTTCCAGAATGATTTGAATTTTTTTAACTTAATTTTTTACTAACTTTTTAACGAAGCCTCAATCAACAAATTGCTATTCTTGATTTTCATCTTATTTTGGCCAGAAAATATTTAGAATCTCCCATTCTAATTTTTTCTACGAGTGGCAGAACACCCTGTATATCTTTATCTTCAAAATGTGCTATCATTTAGTCTGCATCGGATTATGACTTTTGTCGCGCAGCGAAATCATTTTTAAGAATGGGATATTTTATAACAACGAATATTTGCGTCCAACGCAGGTAGCTTGGAAAAGGGTCGCCGTAAGCAGACCATAGAAGCAAGGCAATTAAGCATTTTAGCGACTAAAACCGTCCCCATAAACATAGACTCCTCGACAGCTGCACCTCACGTGCAAACACCCCCAATAAACCATACCTGCCCCAACGACAAACATTTTCCCAAAATATTTAAACATTTAAGACACACCTCAAGAACATTCCTGATACACCCTCCTCCCAAGCACCACCAATAAGAAGCCATCCATCTCGCCCTTTCCACTAATGAAACCAACCAACCACAACTTCACAGAGTCGAAAAGCGCTAAAAGATACCACTGTTAGACAGAAATCAAGCAACGCTCAGTCAGAATACAACTCAAGAGTCTCGTCATCTACTTGTTTTAAAATAAAGACTTAACGAACAACCATCGTCTTTGCTTCTGTAAAGCACCCTAAATACTCGCACAATTTTAAGTAGGCGTGTGAGGTACGCGTACAAAAAGGCAAACGCGCAAATAGTTACGCGTACAAACAACTTTCTCTCCTAATAAACCTCATTGAAGTAACATCAATTTATGTTACGTCTATTTGTGGAAGATACGTTTTACATATCACTAAAAATTTTCACGCCAACATAATCCTATCACAAGAAAACAAAGATCATTTTCTCTGAGAGTGTAATTAAGGTCTCTGATTTTGTAAAATATGTTTAAGAGGAATCGACTGTTGTTTGACTGGCAGAGTAGAACCCATTTAAAAGAGAAGATGCAGTTTACGTTCAGTTTTTAAAGAGCTGTTTTTCTCTGCACTTACCTAAAAGCAAAACTCCCGCAAGAGAAGGACAATTCCTTGATACAGAGATCCTCACATTGCATCAAATCACGCGCCAAACAAGTTTTCCTTAACACGCTTCTACTCAATTTTGAGCCGGTTGCTGATCTAATGGAACATTTCTGTGCCCCTGGGAATTTACCATGTTCCCCGTAAGGAAAGTCTTTCGCCGGAGGCACGGTATTATCGTTGTATCCAAACGCGCTGCCATAATTATAATATTTTCCATAAAACTGATCGTAATCCTGCGGCGACGATCGATCCTCCGGCCGATATTTGGGGAAAATCGGCGGCCTCTCGTTCGGAAATCCTTTATGGTCGATGCGAGGATCGTGGAGAGAATTATTGTAAACTGGTCCAGAATAATGTATCTCTGAACCCGTCCAGTTCGGTCCGTTCCAGTGTCGGCCATTTTCACGAGAATTAAAAGGTTCTAGATTAACAAATTAATAAGGTTATGCGTGTTTAATTTTGCTCTTCGCTATAATATACCACAGACGAGGCATACGAGTAGACTTTTCACCTTATGGCCTTTCGTGGCCCAATCTGACTGCCATACCGACACTGAAAATTCGGAGGTGATTGTAGCGACCTCTTCTCATGGATGGCGGTCAATTGAGAAACTATTCTCTGAATCAGTCTATGGGCAGAAGCTGTAGCGTGTGTGTAAGTACATGTGAGTTGACTATGAAATGGATTAAAAAACGCAATTTTCAAACGACTATAACAGCTACAATAGTGAATATATTTCAATGAAACTTTTTTCTGAACTAGAGCTCAAGGGTATCTACAAAAAAGTATTAAACAACTTTTCTATAGGGCGTGAAACAAAATTACTAAAAATCAAAAACGAATTTTTAAGGAAAATCGACAAGAGTTGCCTAAATTTTTCGGCGAGATTAAAAAATTCCAAATCGTTCTAAAAAAATTATTTTTGGTTGCAGGGGTCAATTGCAATCATTTTTGGTCAATAGACATACCTTCGAAATCCTAACCATTTTGGAGAAAAAAATTCTTTACCGAAAATATAATTTCAGGCCAGAAATGGCACCCGAAAATTTCTTACGGATCTTTAGAAAATCATAACTTCTGAACGGATTGGAGGATTTTAATGTTTCAAACGGCAAACAACGTGTATTTTAGCGAAGAATGTGTAGGAATTCTAACAATATTGAAAAAGTTGTTCCTTTACACCGTAAAGTTAGAAAACCCCCCATAAAAATGGTCCAATTTTCAAACGGCCATAACTCCTACAATAGTGAATATATTTTAATGAAACTTTTTTCTGGAATAAAGCTCATGGGTACCTACAGCAAAGTATTAGACAACTTTTCTATGGGGCGTGAAACAAAATTACTAAAAATCAAAAACGAATTTTTAAGGAAAATCGACAAGAGGTGCCTAAATTTTTCGGCGAGATTAAAAAATTCCAAATCATTCTAAAAAAATTATTTTTGGTTGCAGGGGTCAATTGCAATCATTTTTGGTCAATAGACATACCTTCGAAATCCTAACCATTTTCTAGAAAAATATTCTTTACCGAAAATATAATATCAGGCCAGAAATGGCACCCGAAAATTTCTTACGTATCTTTAGAAAATTATAACTTCTGAACGGATTGGAGGATTTTAATGTTTCAAACGGCAAACAACGTGTATTTAGGCGAAGAATGTGTAGGAATTCTAACAATATTGAAAAAGTTGTTCCTTTACACCGTAAAGTTAGAAAACCCCCCATAAAAATGGTCCAATTTTCAAACGGCCATAACTCCTACAATAGTGAATATATTTTAATGAAACTTTTTTCTGGAATAAAGCTCATGGGTACCTACAGCAAAGTATTAGACAACTTTTCTATGGGGCGTGAAACAAAATTACTAAAAATCAAAAACGAATTTTTAAGGAAAATCGACAAGAGTTGCCTAAATTTTTCGGCGAGATTAAAAAATTCCAAATCGTTCTAAAAAAATTATTTTTGGTTGCAGGGGTCAATTGCAATCATTTTTGGTCAATAGACATACCTTCGAAATCCTAACCATTTTTGAGAAAAAAATTCTTTACCGAAAATATAATTTCAGGCCAGAAATGGCACCCGAAAATTTCTTACGGATCTTTAGAAAATCATAACTTCTGAACGGATTGGAGGATTTTAATGTTTCAAACGGCAAACAACGTGTATTTTAGCGAAGAATGTGTAGGAATTCTAACAATATTGAAAAAGTTGTTCCTTTACACCGTAAAGTTAGAAAACCCCCCATAAAAATGGTCCAATTTTCAAACGGCCATAACTCCTACAATAGTGAATATATTTTAATGAAACTTTTTTCTGGAATAAAGCTCATGGGTACCTACAGCAAAGTATTAGACAACTTTTCTATGGGGCGTGAAACAAAATTACTAAAAATCAAAAACGAATTTTTAAGGAAAATCGACAAGAGGTGCCTAAATTTTTCGGCGAGATTAAAAAATTCCAAATCATTCTAAAAAAATTATTTTTGGTTGCAGGGGTCAATTGCAATCATTTTTGGTCAATAGACATACCTTCGAAATCCTAACCATTTTCTAGAAAAATATTCTTTACCGAAAATATAATATCAGGCCAGAAATGGCACCCGAAAATTTCTTACGTATCTTTAGAAAATTATAACTTCTGAACGGATTGGAGGATTTTAATGTTTCAAACGGCAAACAACGTGTATTTAGGCGAAGAATGTGTAGGAATTCTAACAATATTGAAAAAGTTGTTCCTTTACACCGTAAAGTTAGAAAACCCCCCATAAAAATGGTCCAATTTTCAAACGGCCATAACTCCTACAATAGTGAATATATTTTAATGAAACTTTTTTCTGGAATAAAGCTCATGGGTACCTACAGCAAAGTATTAGACAACTTTTCTATGGGGCGTGAAACAAAATTACTAAAAATCAAAAACGAATTTTTAAGGAAAATCGACAAGAGTTGCCTAAATTTTTCGGCGAGATTAAAAAATTCCAAATCGTTCTAAAAAAATTATTTTTGGTTGCAGGGGTCAATTGCAATCATTTTTGGTCAATAGACATACCTTCGAAATCCTAACCATTTTTGAGAAAAAAATTCTTTACCGAAAATATAATTTCAGGCCAGAAATGGCACCCGAAAATTTCTTACGGATCTTTAGAAAATCATAACTTCTGAACGGATTGGAGGATTTTAATGTTTCAAACGGCAAACAACGTGTATTTTAGCGAAGAATGTGTAGGAATTCTAACAATATTGAAAAAGTTGTTCCTTTACACCGTAAAGTTAGAAAACCCCCCATAAAAATGGTCCAATTTTCAAACGGCCATAACTCCTACAATAGTGAATATATTTTAATGAAACTTTTTTCTGGAATAAAGCTCATGGGTACCTACAGCAAAGTATTAGACAACTTTTCTATGGGGCGTGAAACAAAATTACTAAAAATCAAAAACGAATTTTTAAGGAAAATCGACAAGAGGTGCCTAAATTTTTCGGCGAGATTAAAAAATTCCAAATCATTCTAAAAAAATTATTTTTGGTTGCAGGGGTCAATTGCAATCATTTTTGGTCAATAGACATACCTTCGAAATCCTAACCATTTTCTAGAAAAATATTCTTTACCGAAAATATAATATCAGGCCAGAAATGGCACCCGAAAATTTCTTACGTATCTTTAGAAAATTATAACTTCTGAACGGATTGGAGGATTTTAATGTTTCAAACGGCAAACAACGTGTATTTAGGCGAAGAATGTGTAGGAATTCTAACAATATTGAAAAAGTTGTTCCTTTACACCGTAAAGTTAGAAAACCCCCCATAAAAATGGTCCAATTTTCAAACGGCCATAACTCCTACAATAGTGAATATATTTTAATGAAACTTTTTTCTGGAATAAAGCTCATGGGTACCTACAGCAAAGTATTAGACAACTTTTCTATGGGGCGTGAAACAAAATTACTAAAAATCAAAAACGAATTTTTAAGGAAAATCGACAAGAGTTGCCTAAATTTTTCGGCGAGATTAAAAAATTCCAAATCGTTCTAAAAAAATTATTTTTGGTTGCAGGGGTCAATTGCAATCATTTTTGGTCAATAGACATACCTTCGAAATCCTAACCATTTTTGAGAAAAAAATTCTTTACCGAAAATATAATTTCAGGCCAGAAATGGCACCCGAAAATTTCTTACGGATCTTTAGAAAATCATAACTTCTGAACGGATTGGAGGATTTTAATGTTTCAAACGGCAAACAACGTGTATTTTGGCGAAGAATGTGTAGGAATTCTAACAATATTGAAAAAGTTGTTCCTTCACCCCGTAAAGTTAGGAAAACCCTATAAAAATGGTCCAATTTTCAAAGGGCCATAACTCCTACAATAGTGAATATATTTTAATGAAACTTTTTTCTGAACTAGAGCTCATGGGTATCTACAAAAAAGTATTAAACAACTTTTCTATAGGGCGTGAAACAAAATTACTAAAAATCAAAAACGAATTTTTAAGGAAAATCGACAAGAGGTGCCTAAATTTTTCGGCGAAATTGAATAGTTTCAAATCAGCCTGGAAAAATTATTTCCGGTTGCAGGGGTCAATTGCAATCATTTTTGGTCAATACCCATACCTCCGGAAAACCTACGCATTTCCGAGAAAAAAATTCTTTACCAAGAATATGTATAATGTGTGGCCAGTAATGTTTGTGTAATTTCATTTTCTGTCTCACTTCCTCTTGTGTTCATTTGTGTAACCTGTCGGTAACGTTGCGAGTGTCACGAAAATGGTAATGGGGCTCCAGAGCCCCATAAAAATGGCCCAAAAAAATACCTTGGGGTGAATGGTCTACTCGAATACTTTGTCTGTGATGCTACATTACCATGCGAATTATCTCGGGAAAATTGCTCGTTGGGTCGTATGTACTGATCGGGGAATCGACTGAACTCGTGTTTGCTCGGATAGATGTCAGGGTAAGCCGGTAATCCTGGCGGGAGATCTTCGTTACCATTGCGATCCAATCGTGACCATGCTCCTTCTTGACGGTTTTTCCCATAACCTCTGTTAGTCCATTGTGTGGTGTCCCACAGAGAGGGCACACAATTTCGTTCCCTTTCATAGTAATCGTACCGTGGATCGGTTAGGAAATCTCTGTCGACGTTCATGCGAAAATATGGCGTCGCCGTTAATTCGCACACACCCTTCGAACCGCTTGATCCAACCCTAATTAATCAGAAAAAAACGAATGATATTAAAATCCAATAATCACGTATGTAGATACGTATTTTACAAGCAAAGCAAGATCGATGTTAATTGTTGGTTGACTGTACCTGTAATTAAAGCCTTTACAGTCGAAAGCCTTTTCATAATCGCACGTCCGACGGCAGTCGTGCAAGTTCTCACAATTTACCACACGTTCGACAAGCATTTCCATCGTCTTCCTGCCAGGCTGCATCTTCCGATGACAGATCGTGACTAATTGTAATTAATATTGTACTTAATTATAAAATCAGTTTAACTAATAAACAACTATTCAATGATTTCTTTTATACAAATATTTCGGATAACAGTTATTTATGGTCTTTGTTCCTTTAATTTTATTCCTTGACCCGATCTAATATATGGATAGATCTTTTCATCTTTCACAGGTTGTGATTAATTGTAATTAATATTGTACTTAATTATAAAATCAGTTTAACTAATAAACAACTATTCAATGATTTCTTTTATACAAATATTTCGGATAACAGTTATTTATGGTCTTTGTTCCTTTAAATTTATTCCTTGATCCGATCTAATACATGATCTAGATAGATCTTTCATAACTGAACTTACGCGTGACACCATTGTCGTTAGGTTTCCTTGACAGGATCGTGGAACTTGGAACAGTTCGAAGAAAAATTAGCGATAGCACCAGGGTCGGTAACAACGATTTCGTCCACATTTTTACCGACTGTTCCTAACGAGAAACAAAGCACTTTTTCCGTTGTTCGAACTGGCCGAATTTCTCATTATTCCCGTCACGACAAATCCCTAATCGCGATCATAATTTCGATTTTAAGGATCTTCCACGTTAACTTTTGTAAATTAACGGATCTTCCCGTTTAGGAATAAATTAAATAATTTCTTCTGATCGTGTTCCATTGTCTCGATCTCCCGTGAATTTCTCGGGCCACACGTTTCACTTATCGGGGTATACGTGCACGGAACCGACACTTACGATGTCTTTGCAAACCTGATGAAATTACAGAGCAGCCTGGTTTTATAGAAAAGTGAACATTTCTGCGGGAGTAGTGGGGGGAAATTATTATTGGCGCATGGGAGGGGACACCGCGCCCCTACATATACAATTAATACTTCATTACGAACATTGTTTATATCGAAACTCATCTTATTCACGCGTACATGAGTACATATAGTTTATGTTAACAAATAATACAATAATAATACCGAATTATATTGTTAACAAATAATATGACTGTTGGAATTAATATTTAGATCTAGTAAAGCTATGATGAAATTATGTTTAGGAACCATCGCTAATTTTCTATCTAATGTTCTAATTTTTATTATTTTTATATTGTAAAATAAAAATCGAAACATTTTTCAATACTTACTTGTGCAATTGAAACGAATAGAATTTTTAAAAGCGAGTTTTAAGTTTAGAAACTCACTAATTTTCTAAATATTGTTCTAAATTCTATTATTTTCATATCGTAAAACAAAAATCGAACCTTTTGTTAATAGTTATTTGTGCAATTGAAACGAATGGAATTTTTAAAAGCGAGTTTTAAGTTTAGAAACTCGCTAATTTTCTAAATATTGTTCTAATTTCTATTATTTTCTTATTGAAAAACAAAAATCGAACCTTTCTTCATTAATTATTTGAAAAACGAATGAAACGAATGGAATTTTTATAAACAAGTTTTACGTTTAGAAACCATCGCTAATTTTCCAACTAATGTTCTAATTTCTACTATTTTCAAATTGCAAAATAAAAATCGAAACATTTTTCATTATTTATTCGTGCAATTAAAACGATGGAATTTTTGACAATAAGTATTACGTTTAGAAACCATTGCTAATTTTCTAAATATTGTTCTAATTTCTATTATTTTTATATTGTAAAACAAAAATCGAAATATTTTTCATTTATTATTTGTACAATTAAGACGAATGCAATTTTTAAAAGCAAGTTTTACGTTGGGAACCATCGCTAATTTTCTAAATATTGTTCTAATTTCTATTATTTTCATATCGTAAAACAAAAATCGACAAATTTTTCATTAATTATTTGTAAAACGGATGAAACGAATAGAAATTTTAAAAACAAGGTTTACGTTTGGGAACGATAGCTAATTATCCATCTAATGTTCTAATCTCTATTATTTTCATATTGTAAAACAAAAATCGAACATTTCTTCGTTAATTGTTCATGCGATCGAAACGAATGGAATTTTTTAGTTCTAGTTTTACGTTTAGGAACCATCGCTAATTTTCTAAATATTGTTCTAATTTCTATTATTTTTATATCGTAAAAACAAAAACCGAACTTTTCTTCAATACTTATTTGTGCAATTGAAACGAATAGAATTTTTAAAAGCGAGTTTCAAGTTTGGAAACCATCGCTAATTTTCTAAATATTGTTCTAATTTCTATTATTTTCATATTGTAAAACCATAATCGAATCTTTTTTCATTAATTATTTGTAAAACGGATGATACGAATGGAATTTTCAAAAACAAGGTTTACGTTTGGGAACGATAGCTAATTATCCATCTAATGTTCTAATCTCTATTATTTTCATATTGTAAAACAAAAATCGAACATTTCTTCGTTAATTGTTCATGCGATCGAAACGAATGGAATTTTTTAGTTCTAGTTTTACGTTTAGGAACCATCGCTAATTTTCTAAATATTGTTCTAATTTCTATTATTTTCATATCGTAAAAACAAAAACCGAACTTTTCTTCAATACTTATTTGTGCAATTGAAACGAATAGAATTTTTAAAAGCGAGTTTCAAGTTTGGAAACCATCGCTAATTTTCTAAATATTGTTCTAATTTCTATTATTTTCATATTGTAAAACCATAATCGAATCTTTTTTCATTAATTATTTGTAAAACGGATGATACGAATGGAATTTTCAAAAACAAGGTTTACGTTTGGGAACGATAGCTAATTATCCATCTAATGTTCTAATCTCTATTATTTTCATATTGTAAAACAAAATTCGAACATTTCTTCGTTAATTGTTCATGCGATCGAAACGAATGGAATTTTTTAGTTCTAGTTTTACGTTTAGGAACCATTGCTAATTTTCCATCAAATGTTCTAATTTCTATTATTTCCATATCGTAAAACAAAAATTGAAAAATTCTACGTTATTTATTAGTGAAACAAAACGAGACGGATGGAATTTTTAAAAGCAAGTTCCATCGTTCGTGTCCTTCGAGATTCAGCGCGCAATTATTTCAGCTAGCCCGTCCTTCAGCGATCGCGGTACGATTCGTAAAAGATCGATCGCCCGATCGTAGTTACGATTTCGTCCTCGACGAATTGATCAATATCGAATTAGCATCAGAACAATTATCGGAAGAATAAAACTCGCGATTAACGTGGAATAATCAGTATTTTATATAATAAACCGAGGGCTTGCGATTCGTGTCAATGCCGTTCGTTCCCCCTTGCTAGTTTCACTTTGCAAATGTTCAACGATCGAAATAATTCAATAATTCAAACGCGTGCTCGCATCCAATTGAATTTTCCTCTTCGCTGCACAGGATTTCAGATGATAAAATAAACCCATGTTGCATAGAAGTTTTATTGCGTTTTAAATTAAACAAATTTGGTATATTTTTATTAATAAATCACATCATGAAAAACCTACACTAAAAAATAGTAATAGTTGTCGCAATAAACCTTCCGCTTGCAACAATTGATGAACCTGTATTGGCATGTTGAATGTTGCCAACACAAGTGAATAAATTTGTAACATTTGTTGAAGATATTACCAACTGCTTTAGGTAAATAAGCCCAGACCTAACCTAACCCAACCCTTATCTAAGTCAGACCCCTAACCACAGACCTGACCCAAACCTATGCGCGCGCATGCAGCTATTGGAACTATAAAATCTCCCACCATGCATCACGGTGCACCAAAAAGGTGGGACACTGTTAATCCCAGCATCCCCCAAAGAGTTAACTCGAGTAATGAGAGGCAAAAATAATTTTGAAATGTAAATATTTCCTAAAATAATGGTCGAATTTTTTAATAAATACTATTTCGTTGTACATTTCGGTGCAGACGTAACCTAGTAACTCACCGAAAGGACTACTCGATGCTGTCTTTTGATTTCTATTCGCAAGAATGTCCATGACTCTGTGGTTGTCGTCACCGGAAAGAAAACGTCCGTCATGATCGATAAACAGATCGTAGATACCGACGAGCCCGTAGCTTCCACTGTCATATCTGCCTCTTAACATTTCAAACATACGTCCTTTTACGTCACTCTTACAAATCCTTCAAAGTCAAACACACCGATCCAATGTGTTTGCTGAACTATTTTCATGCACCTTTACAATGTTATGGGATACTTATGCTACTTATGATACTTCTAAAAAATCCCCTGCTTAACACTTTCACTGCCACGTCACTCACTGTTTTTCACTAAGGAGCTAAAAGAATTAATTCTCAAGATTAAATGTTAAAGAAAACAAATCTAAACATGACTCTTGAATTTAAACAAATCTGTGAAAATAAGTTCAATGATGAATTATGGCCCCGCTGGTTACCAAATGTTTAAAAACAAAGTTTCGCTTTCGTGGGCAATTTGAGGGGGTTTTCACTTTCACTGCCATGTCGCTCACACATGGGTGACACTGTTTTTCACTAAGGAGCTAAAAGAATTAATTCTCAAGATTAAATGTTAAAGAAAACAAATCTAAACATGACTCTTGAATTTAAACAAATCTGTGAAAATAAGTTCAATGATGAATTATGGCCCCGCTGGTTACCAAATGTTTAAAAACAAAGGTTCGCTTTCGTGGGCAATTTGAGGGAGTTTTTACTTTTACTGCCATGTCACTCGCACATGGGTGACAGGATTTACCATTGTGATCCTAGAAAAATTGATTCTCGAGTTAAGATGTTGAGGGAAGTAAATTGTAAGTTACGTAGCTTACGATGGTCTAAAATCAAAATTTTACTTTTGTAGAATATTATATGGTTTCGATCTGGCAGCGAACGTGTTAAATACTACAGTAAACGAAATTTCTATAAGAACATTATGATTTTCTACAAAATATTCCTTTATTTTTTAAATATCTGGTACTGGTATGAGGGAATCTTTCCCCAACCAAGTTATCGTTACTAGAAATAATGTGCTATAAGATATAATTCATAATTCTTAGAAGATATAATTTCTATAAGAACATTATGATTTTCTACAAGATATTCCTTTATTTTTTAAATATCTGGTACTGGTATGAGGGAATCTTTCCCCGACCAAGTTATCGTTACTAGAAATAATGTGCTGATAAAGGCAATGATAAAATTTGTATAAGACCAGCAAGTATTCCTCAGTTTTACTTCATCATACATGGAAGTAACCATGATCTCATCGTATCAAGAGTATCGATACTGAAATACAACATTCATATGAGAACATTAAGTAATTCTATGGTGTATTAAAGTGTCGCTAGGGAAAGTTCTGTCTTCGCAGGAGAAAGCAAAAATATATCACAAAGAGAAATAGAAAAAGAAATCAATAGATCTAGTATTCGTGTACATAATTACTCCAAGTTAGGTACTGAATATGGCAAAACCCACTATAGTGAAGGCAATAGAAAATTAACCAGGCGTGACCATTCTCGAATTTATAAAGAAATAATAAATACAACTGTCACTGAAATAAAGAGAGATATACATCTACCTGTAATTACGCGACGTGTACAGCAAATATTGCATAATGATACACGGTTAAAATGGACAAAAATGGTAACTAAGCTTACTCAAGAGCACAAAGCCGGAAGATCAGAGTTTGTAAAAAAATATATGACTTGTAATATTTTGTTTACAATAAAAATAAACTATTTTCTCCGGATGTATACATTGTTTTTTCAGCTTCTATTAAACCTTAATTATTTCCCAGCATTCCTTTCATTATATCATCAAAATTATTTAAATTCTTATAAAAAATCATAGTGCTCTTTCGTAAATAAGAAATATATCAACCTGTTTATATTTAAATATTTTGTCAGATTAGGAAAAGATTATGATGATAAGGTACTTTAGGATAATATAGACGGTGTTCGGCCATTCTTGGGAAAAATTTTAATGGGAGATTCTAGAGGCCAAAATAAGACGAAAATCAAGAATAGTAATTTTTTAATTGAGGCTTCGTTAAAAAATTATTAATGTTTAAAGTTCCGTTTGTAGCGCGTGATAGTGGTTCTCAACCAGTATGATTGCAGTTTTACAATCGGAACTTTAAACGTTAATAACTTTTTAACGAAGCCTAAATCAACAAATTGGTATTCTTGATTTTCGTCTTATTTTAGCCTCTAGAATCCCCCATTAAAATTTTTCCCAGGGGTGGCCGAATCATAGTAAAATAAGCTATTTTCTCCAAATGTATACATTACTTCTCCAGCTTCTATTACACTTTAATTATTTCCCAGCATTCCTTTCACTATACTAGCAAAATTATTCAAATTTTCATTACAAATCATAGTGTTCTTACAGAAATTTCGTTCACTGTACAGTCTGATTCATATCTTAAGATTGTTGTAAAGTCCTTTTTAAAAGTTTAAATAATTCTTCCAGTTTCTTCCTTGGAATTTTTATGACTGTAACGTTTATCGACTATTGTTTGCTAAGATTGGAAATAGAATTGATGTACTCATTTCCTGGGAAGGGGGAGATCAATTTTGAAAAACCATGACTATTTGCAATTTCTATAATTGTAACGTTTATCAACTATTGTTTACTAAAATTGGAAATAGAATTGATGTACTCATTACCTGGGGAGGGGGGCAGTCAGTCAATTTTGAAAAGCTATGAATAATTGCTAATTTCTATAATTGTAACGTTCATCAACTATTGTTTGCTCATGTAAGATTAGAAATAGAATTGATGTACGCATTACTTGGGAAGGGGGAAGTCCCCCAATTTTGAAAAGCCATCAAAATTTGCAATTTCTATAATTGTAACGTTTATCAACTATTGTTTACGAAACTTGGAAATAGAATTGATGTACTCATTACCTGGGGAGGGGGGCAGTCAGTCAATTTTGAAAAGCCATGAATAATTGCAATTTCTATAATTGTAACATTTATCAACTATTGTTTGCTCATGTAAGATTAGAAATAGAATTGATGTACGCATTACTTGGGAAGGGGGAAGTCCCCCAATTTTGAAAAACCATGAATATTTGCAATTTCTATAGTTGTAACATTTATCAACTATTCTTTGCCCATGTAAGATAGGAAGTAAAATTGATGTACTCATTACCAGAGATGGGGGAAGTCCCCCAATTTTGAAAAGCCATCAAAATTTGCAATTTCTATAGTTGTAACATTTATCAACTATTCTTTGCCCACGTAAGATTGGAAATAAAATTGATGTACTCATTACGAGAGATGGGGGAAGTCCCCCAATTTTGAAAAGCCATCAAAATTTGCAATTTCTATAGTTGTAACATTTATCAATTATTCTTTGCCCATGTAAGATTGGAAATAAAATTGATGTACTCATTACCAGAGATGGGGGAAGTCCCCCAATTTTGAAAAGCCATCAAAATTTGCAATTTCTATAATTGTAACATTTATCAACTATTGTTTGCCCATGTAAGATTGGAAATAAAATTGATGTACTCATTACCAGAGATGGGGGAAGTCCCCCAATTTTGAAAAGCCATCAAAATTTGCAATTTCTATAGTTGTAACATTTATCAATTATTCTTTGCCCATGTAAGATTGGAAATAAAATTGATGTACTCATTACCAGAGATGGGGGAAGTCCCCCAATTTTGAAAAGCCATCAAAATTTGCAATTTCTATAGTTGTAACATTTATCAACTATTCTTTGCCCACGTAAGATTGGAAATAAAATTGATGTACTCATTACGAGAGATGGGGGAAGTCCCCCCAATTTTGAAAAGCCATCAAAATTTGCAATTTCTATAGTTGTAACATTTATCAACTATTGTTTGCTCATGTAAGATTAGAAATAAAATTGATGTACTCATTACCAGAGATGGGGGAAGTCCCCCAATTTTGAAAAGCCATGAATATTTTCAATTTCCATAATTCTAACGTTTATCAACTATTATTTGCTCATGTCAGATTGGAAATAAAATTGATGTACTCATTACCAGAGATGGGGGAAGTCCCCCAATTTTGAAAAGCCATCAAAATTTGCAATTTCTATAGTTGTAACATTTATCAACTATTCTTTGCCCATGTAAGATTGGAAATAAAATTGATGTACTCATTACGAGAGATGGGGGAAGTCCCCCAATTTTGAAAAGCCATCAAAATTTGCAATTTCTATAGTTGTAACATTTATCAACTATTGTTTGCTCATGTAAGATTAGAAATAAAATTGATGTACTCATTACCAGAGATGGGGGAAGTCCCCCAATTTTGAAAAGCCATGAATATTTTCAATTTCCATAATTCTAACGTTTATCAACTATTATTTGCTCATGTCAGATTGGAAATAAAATTGATGTACTCATTACCAGAGATGGGGGAAGTCCCCCAATTTTGAAAAGCCATCAAAATTTGCAATTTCTATAGTTGTAACATTTATCAATTATTCTTTGCCCATGTAAGATTGGAAATAAAATTGATGTACTCATTACCAGAGATGGGGGAAGTCCCCCAATTTTGAAAAGCCATCAAAATTTGCAATTTCTATAGTTGTAACATTTATCAATTATTCTTTGCCCATGTAAGATTGGAAATAAAATTGATGTACTCATTACCAGAGATGGGGGAAGTCCCCCCAATTTTGAAAAGCCATCAAAATTTGCAATTTCTATAGTTGTAACATTTATCAACTATTCTTTGCCCACGTAAGATTGGAAATAAAATTGATGTACTCATTACCAGAGATGGGGGAAGTCCCCCAATTTTGAAAAGCCATCAAAATTTGCAATTTCTATAGTTGTAACATTTATCAACTATTCTTTGCCCATGTAAGATTGGAAATAAAATTGATGTACTCATTACGAGAGATGGGGGAAGTCCCCCAATTTTGAAAAGCCATCAAAATTTGCAATTTCTATAGTTGTAACATTTATCAACTATTCTTTGCCCACGTAAGATTGGAAATAAAATTGATGTACTCATTACCAGAGATGGGGGAAGTCCCCCAATTTTGAAAAGCCATCAAAATTTGCAATTTTTATAATTGTAACATTTATCAACTATTGTTTGCCCATGTAAGATAGGAAATAAAATTGATGTACTCATTACGAGAGATGGGGGAAGTCCCCCAATTTTGAAAAGCCATCAAAATTTGCAATTTCTATAGTTGTAACATTTATCAACTATTCTTTGCCCACGTAAGATTGGAAATAAAATTGATGTACTCATTACGAGAGATGGGGGAAGTCCCCCAATTTTGAAAAGCCATCAAAATTTGCAATTTCTATAGTTGTAACATTTATCAACTATTGTTTGCTCATGTAAGATTAGAAATAAAATTGATGTACTCATTACCAGAGATGGGGGAAGTCCCCCAATTTTGAAAAGCCATGAATATTTTCAATTTCCATAATTCTAACGTTTATCAACTATTATTTGCTCATGTCAGATTGGAAATAAAATTGATGTACTCATTACCAGAGATGGGGGAAGTCCCCCAATTTTGAAAAGCCATCAAAATTTGCAATTTCTATA